ACACTTGTGTGGGCTCAGATATGTGGTTTGGACTTCTGGACTTAAGTGTTAAGAGCTTAAGGTCGAAATTGGCGTAATGGATGAGTACGTTGGGCATACAAGTCTGTACGTGCAACGTACAAGCCAAATTCCATGTATGCTTAGCGTACAACAGAGTACGCCCCGCATACTCAGTCAAAAGGGTTTTGGATTTTAGGCTTGTTGTTGGGCTTTCTTTTTGGGCTTGGGTGTTTGAATTCTTCATGGGCCATCTATGTATAAGTGTTCTGCACTAGGAATCTTGGTTGGCCTTCAGGGTAAGGCCCATGTAAGGGGTTTGGGCCTTGGTTGGTCATTTGGCTTTTGGACCTTTCAGGATGCAAGATTGGGACATAGTCTTGGACCAAGCTAGGATAGGGGTAAATTGGTCTTTTTTCCCCGAGTATGATTTATAGTTATGGTTTGGAAGCCAATGGTTAAGTAGGCGTTGTTTTGATATTGACAGTTCGGGGACTCTATCAACTAGCAGTCAGGGATCGTCTGTGTGATTTGGCAGAGCAAGGTGAGTCTCCTCATTGGGTTTAGTAGGTCGAAGGCACCAATGCTGGCCCATGATTTATATGTTAGGATGGTAGATGTCTGTGTGACTCTTTCATGTGTTATATGATGGTATGCTTACCGGGCCAGGCCCGATGCCAGGCAGGGCTGATGAGTTAATTGTATGCTAGTTATTAGTATCTATTTATATGCTTACCGGGCGAGGCTCGATGACTGTACGGTATCCTATAGTCTTTGTGATTATTGCATGTGCTAGTAGGTTATATGTTTATTGGATTGTATGGTTATATGATTATGTGTATATCGGGCGGGGCCTAATGTCAGGCGGGGCCTGGTGAATGACAGATCTGTAATCCGAGCAGGGCTCGATGTCGGGCAGGGCTCGATGCCAGGCGGGGCCCTAGGCCGAGTGGGACTCGAGACCGGGCGAGGCCCGATGGAGGGCGGGGGCTCAATATGTGATTTATGTGTGTGTGGTATGTGGTATCTAGGGGAACTCACTAAGCTTTGTGTTTATGGTTTTCAGTTTATGTTTCAGGTACTTTGGTTTTCAAATGGAAGAGCTCGGGGTGATTGCAGGGCACACACCACATGTTTCAGCATTCTGTGAATTACTCTGATTTGATGATGTTTTTATAGATTTTTATTACCCTGGTTTTATGGGAAAGATATGTATTAACGATTTATTAAATTAAAAACAAAAATTTCATGTCTTTATTTTTGGGACGTTACAAGTGATGGGTTTTGAGCATTCTAACACCCCTAAGTGTACATGCAACCCTAGAAAACCTTGGATCTATGTTTGTCTAAAATACATGCAAAATATGATTTCCAAGGTTCACAAACCTATCTAGCATACATGGGGAACTTTTAACATAAAAGATGGCTAGAATTACATACCTTGTAGTTGATTTGATTCCTTGAAAACCTTGAGAGCCTAGCACCCCAAGTATGATGCCTCAAATGTTTCACACAACACCAAGTGCTTTGGAATAACTTTGAGAGAATGTAGAACACTTGCAAAATCGGCTTGACCTCTTTATCTTGCTTCTAGTGCCGATTTTGGTGAGCTTCATATCCTTTATATAGTGTGTTACAATTAGGGTTAGACCATGTAAACCCTAATCTAACATGGCTCTTCATTTCCATGACCCATGGGTTTGTAACTCCCATGGAGCATCCATGGAGCATCCTATAGACCTTAGCCCAACTTGATAATCCATGGAGCATTTAGCTCACTATACAAGTTATGGATGATTTACATAATCAACCCATATATTTAATTAGTCTTCTTTTGATCACTTAATTAATTCAAAATTAATTCTTGATCAATATTAATTAAATAATACTATTAATATATTAGAACTTATAATATATTAATAAACCACAAGTGTTATTTCTGTCATTTAGTCTATCCAAATGCATGATGCCATGCAACCCAAATGGACCATGCCAAACCGGGTCAAGTACATACCAGTAATAGTTATGGACTTAGACACATTATCCAACAGTCTCCCACTTGGATAAGTCTAATAACTATAACTGTAAGTATGACTTCAGGAACCGATCAGAAATCATAGCTCTTTCAAGGTCTCTCGGAACTGAGAAGATAATGATACGCCATGTAAGATAAGTGATCATATAATCCTCTGTTCTAGATATCAGTCGGACAAATACATGGAACAATGTCTTACTTATTGTCCAGAAGTTTGTTTCCCGATTTCCGATTTGTTTGACAAAGAACTAAATTGAACACATCAATTCGGTTCTGACCGGGCCCGGTACATAGGCCAAAAAAAATCATCGAGGGGCCCATATATTGCTTCTAATCCAAGAAGGAAAAGATAAACTTCGACTCATATGCTTGTTCTACTACTTGTTGAATTACACACAAAAGTACTTTTTAGAACATCGAGTTACCAATGTGTTTTCGTACGATCAATGCATAACCAACTCATAGGCAACAAGTCATATCTCTAGGTTTGAAGACTTATATGATATTACCGTCTCACGATCACTCGAGATAAATTCCATGAAGTGATACCAGTGAGCGTGGGTTGAATCCAATGGTCAGAACTTATGAGCACTCATGAGTGTTGTAGCCATGTCCAACAACTTAGACCTCTGCAACCAACTCATGAAGGTCTTGATTCATACCTACTTCCAACATATGACCGACTGTGGAGAATTCGAATAATATGATATACCAAACATAATTATTCTGGAAGTCAAAATATGCAAAAGAAATATAGTAAATGATTGACAAAAGATAGCAACACTTTACTCATAAATAAACACAACTTTTATTCATCATCAAATGTCAATTACACTTTACAAATTTCAAAATTATCTAACTACTAAAACTAATATCATCCTTCAGCCCTATGCTCCGAGCATGCTGGAGATGCTTAACCCGATTCAGTCCCTTCGTGAGGGGATCTGCTGGGTTCTCATCCGATGATACCCTCTTTGCCACGAGGAGTCCTTCTTCTATTCGATGTTTGATGAAATGGTATTTTCTATCGATGTGTCTGGATCTCCCATGATCCCTTGGTTCCTTGGCTAAGGCAACTGCACTTTCACTATCACAGAAAATTTCCATTGGCTCCTTTATAGCTGGTACAACTCCAAGGTCTCCAATGAAGTTCTTCAGCCATATCGCATCCTTTGTTGCCTCGCTTGCTGCTATATACTCTGATTCGCAAGTTGAATCAGCCACTGTCTCCTGCTTGGAACTCTTCCAAGTAATTGCTCCTCCGTTTAAGGTAAAGACCCAGCCTGACTGAGAGCGGAAATTATGCCTATCAGTTTGAAAGCTAGCATCACTATACCCTACAACTCTCAAGTCATTACTCCCACCGAGGGTAAGGACCCAGACCTTAGTCCTCCGCAGGTACTTGAGGATATTCTTTACCGCAGTCCAGTGAGCCTTGCCAGGGTTCCCCTGATATCTGCTGACCATGCTCAAAGCGAAGGATACATCAGGACGAGTACATGTCATAGCATACATGATCGAGACTACTGCAGAAGCATAAGGTACTCGACTCATTTCTGCTATCTCAGCCTTAGTACTCGGGCTCTGAGTTTTACTCAGTATGACGTTACTCTGGATGGGTAACTCTCCTTTCTTGGAATCTTGCATGCTGAACCTTTTCAGCACCTTATCGAAGTAAGTACTCTGACTAAGTCCAATTAGTCTTTTACTCTGGTCTCTCAGAATCCTTATCTCTAGAATATAGGCAACTTCACCTAGGTCTTTCATAGAGAAACACTTCCCAACCCAGGACTTCACTTCCTGCAAGGTTGGGATGTCATTTCCTATGAGTAGTATGTCATCCACATATAGTACCAAAAATCTAACTATACTCCCACTAGCCTTGACATAGGCACAAGATTCATCTTCACTCCTTGAAACGCTAAACTCTTTGACTTTCTCATCGAAGCAAAGATTCCATCTGCGAGGTGCCTGTTTCAATCCATAAATGGATTTCTTGAGCTTACACACTCTATTAGGGTACTCTGTACTGATAAAACCCTCTGGATGACTCATGTAAACATCCTCAGCCAAACTTCCATTAAGGAAGGCGGTTTTGACATCCATTTGCCATATTTCATAATCATGAAATGCAGCAATGGATAACAGAACCCTAATGGACTTAATCTTTGCTACTGGTGAAAAGGTCTCATCATAATCAACTCCCGGAGTTTAAGAAAAGCCCTTTGCGACCAGTCGCGCCTTATATGTGTGTACATTACCATCCATGTCGGTCTTCTTATTGAAGATCCACTTGCACCCAACTGCCTTACGACCTGGTACATTGTCAACCAAGTTCCAAACTTGATTGTCATACATGGACTGTATCTCGCTGTCCATTGCCTCTTTCCACTTAGCAGACTCGGGGCCTGCCATGGCTTTTGCGTAGCTGTTAGGTTCATCCAGACTTACCAATGTCTCATCACTGATAAGTGTCTCACCTTCTGCAGTAATATGGAAACCATAGTAGTGCTCAGGTGCATTCCTAACCCTTGTGGAACGCCTCAGAGGTACAGACTCGTCAATTGGCTCAACAGGAGTTTCCTCCTCAGGTTGAGTGCTAGGGTTTGAAGTTCCTTCACCACTTGACTCTTGAATTTCATCAAGGTCAATTTGCTTCCCACTGTTTCCTTGGCTTATGAACTCTCTCTCTCTCGAAAGACACCCCTCCTTCCTACAAAGACCACATTCTCACTAGGTCTGTAGAAGAGGTAACCAAAGGATTTCTGTGGGTAGCCGATGAAAATACACCTCTCACTTCGAGGTTCGAGCTTATCATGAGTCTCGCGCCTCACGAAAGCCTGGCAACCCCAAATCTTGATGTGGTCTAGTTTGGAACTTTACCAGTCTACATCTCATGAGGAGGTTTGGCAACTTTCTTTTTAGGGACCAGATTAAGGATATGGGCGGCAGTCTCTAAGGCATACCCTCAAAATGAGATTGGTAGCGAAGCTCGACTCATCATGGAACGAACCATATCCAACAAGGTTCGATTACGCCTCTCAGCCACACCATTCAACTGTGGTGTCCTGGGAGGTGTCAATTGTGAGATAATCCCACATTCCTTAAGATAGTCGAGGAACTCTGTACTAAGATACTCACCACCACGATCGGATCGAAGCATCTTAATGTTCCTGCCCAATTGATTCTCGACTTCCTATTTAAACTCTTTAAAACTTTCAAAAATCTCTGACTTATGCTTGATTAAATAGACATATCCATATCTACTATAATCATCAGTAAAAGTCAAATAATAACGATTAACATCCCTTGTGGTAGATTTGAAGGGTCCATACACATTTGTGTGCACTAGATCCAATAAACCTTCACCCCTAGCACAAGAACCAGTGAAGGGTGACTTTGTCATTTTTCCAAGTAAGCATGATTCATGACTATCATCTGACTTTAGGTCAAATGACTCCAAGACTCCATCCTTTTGGAGTTGGCGTATGCGTTTCTTGCTCACATGTCTAAGACGACAATGCCATAATGATGCTTTATCCAAGTTATTATTACTAGAAGAATCAATACACAACACATTATTTCCTAGATTATCTACAACAGATACAGCTTCATAAACACCATCACAAGGTAATGCTTTAAAATAAAGAACATTATTAAAGAAAGCATTTATTCCTCCAATTTCATTATCAAAAGAAAAGGTAAACCCTTATTTGTACAAAGCATGAAAGGAAATAATATTTCTTGCCATTTCTGGCGAATAACAACATTTATTCAAATCTAAAGTAAACCCACTACTTAGCAACAAAGAATAAAATCCAATCTTGGTGAAAGGTGAAGCTTTCCTATTCCCCATGATCAAGTTTATCTTTCCATGCTCCACATTCTTACCTCTTCTTAGTCCCTGCAAATCAGAACAGATATGAATACCACAACCGGTATCAAGGACCCAAGAGTTAGAATAGGGTGAGTTATTAGATAGAATAGTGTAAATACCTGCATGGTTGGGTTTGACTTTCCCATCCTTCATATTTTGCTAGTACTTTGGGCAGTTCCGCTTCCAATGCGACTTTTCATGGAAATAGAAGTATTCAGCCTCTTTTGGGTCAGAAGGAGTGACAAAACCTTTCTTGGTTCCACTTGAACAAGAGCCATCAAGGTTCTTACCCTTGGTACCCTTCGAAGGGCTCTTCCTCTTTTTCCCTCTACCTTTCCCGATTGCCAGGACAGGGGTGGAGTTTGGAGTAGGAGTAGGAATGGTAACAACCAATTTACCTTTAAGACCTGTTTCTGCGGTCTTCAATAGTCCTTGAAGTTTGCTGAGTGTGACTTCTACCTTATTCATGTGGTATGTCATGCGGAATTGATCATAACACGAGGGTAAGGAGTGCAAAATGATATCTATTGCTAGCTCCTCGGGGAAGTTCACATTAAGCTTCAGCAAATGATCCACATACCTTTGCATTTTCTGCATGTGGCTCGTGATGGATTCTCCATCCTTCATCCTGGTTGTTATCATGGAGGAGATTATCTCATACCGCTCTTGACGAGCACTCTGATGGTATCTTTCCATCATATCTTGGTGCATCTCAAAAGGGTAGTAGTCCTCATAGGACTTCTGGAGTTCAGCTGTCATGGTGGCCATCATGATGCATGCCACTTTGGTGGCATCTCTTTCATGAGTCCGGAAGTCAGCGATCTCCTGGGGAGTAGCAGTGGACTCATCGATCTCCTTTTGTTCCTTATCAATGACATATTCCTTGTACTCGTAGCGAGTTACCATCCTGATGTTCCGGATCCAATCCATAAAGTTGGAACCATCGAAGATGACCCTCCTACATAGGTTCATGAGGGAAAAGGAGCCAGTAGGGTTTGAGCGAGAAGCAGTGTTGTTGGAAGACATCTGAAAAAGAAGAGAACAAGTTTAGTTTAGATATAAAGATAGTCCTTAATAAAACACCCAAATGTAATATTAAGGCTAGGATCCAATCACAATATATCATAACTTAGAAGAGGGATGCCGTAATCTAAGCTATAACATATTTGAAAGGTAGGTGAATGACGATTCACCAATTTCCACCATGAAAAACGAAATATAAATAGTAGGTTTTAATTGGTTCTTAGAAATTCCTAGATTCTTTTTGAGATTTAATGAACTTTTCAAAGGCATGTTTCAATCTCGAGTGTGCCCTCCAAGTTTTGTGACTGGGATACCAAGGATCACAAAACGAGATGTGAAGTAACCATGCAAATCACTTGGTACCCTTAATGTTTATCACTCAATCGATGTGCCGGTTAACCACACGCGCTCCACCGACCTATAATAAAACTTAAGTCACCCTTTACCTATCTTGCTAAGTCCAAGTTAGTGTGCCGGTTAACCACACGCGCTCCACTAACGACTTAAACAAAGTGTAAAGTATAATTTCATGGATTAGCACCTTATCCACATTTTCCTAAAGTAACTAAGATTGGGAATTTAAGAAAACATTTAGTTACTTTATAATAATCATTATACTTTTAATGAGAATTTTATAAGTCCTTGTCCTACCTGTTCGGCTAACGACCCTCCACCGATCAAGGAAGCGGTGGGTGAGAGTGGACACCCATTTAGCTGCCATTTTATAGGCAACAACCTTATACCCCCCTTATAGACCGGCTTCGTAAATGAGGCCTACTAACGGTAAGACGACTTGATCTTATATATATATATATATATATATATATATATATATATTATTAACTTATAATATTATAAAGTATAAGGGTTGATTTTTAACTTTTAAAAATCTAGGGGTTGGAACTAAAGTTTATTAAGATAACTTTACATGTTCCAAAACTTGAGGGCAAGTTTTGTAACTTAACAAAACTCTTGAATTCATAACTTATGAGTTATTAAACTGAAGACTCTTAATTTTTGTAACTTATGTGTTCTTTTAATGGGTTTAATACAAGTGACTTTTGATTATCCATAACTTGAGGACAAGTTATGGACTCCATTAAAACACATAAAGATCATGAATCAAGCATTAAACAAGTAATTCCTATGATCTATCAAGAACTCATAAGAACATGAATATTCATATCAAAATTTCAAGAACATATGAACACATATAATCATGTATTTTTGATATTAGCCATTGAAAATGGATTAGAACAACCATTACACCATCTAAAACAAGTTTTATAACACCAAAACACTTTAGGGTAATGTTTCTAGTCCATTTCCAGCAGCAAAAATCGAAATTCTGCACTCTGCCTGGCCAACTCGTCGAGTACATGAAATGACTCGTCAAGTTGGTTGCATTTTCACTTGGACTCGTCGAGTCCCCCCATGGACTCGTCGAGTCCCATGTGCAGACAACTCAAAATTTGATTTTTACACTATTTTGCATCAAGTATTAACAAACAAGCCTAGGCTCTGATACCACTGATGAGTTTTGAGCATTCTAACACCCCTAAGTGTCAAAATTTGATTTTTACACTATTTTTGCATCAAGTATTAACAAACAAGCCTAGGCTCTGATACCACTGATGAGTTTTGAGCATTCTAACACCCCTAAGTGTACATGCAACCCTAGAAAACCTTGGATCTATGTTTGTCTAAATACATGCAAAACATGATTTCCAAGGTTCACAAACCTATCTAGCATACATGGGAAATTTTAACATAAAAGATGGCTAGAATTACATACCTTGTAGATTTGATTCCTAGAAAACCTTGAGAGCCTAGCACCTCAAGTGTGATGCCTTAAATGTTTCACACAACATCAAGTGCTTTGGAATAACTTTAAGAGAATGTAGAACACTTGCAAAATCGGCTTGCCCTCTCTATCTTTCTTCTAGTGCCGATTTTGGTGAGATTCATATCCTTTAGATAGTGTGTTACAAATAGGGTTACACCATGTAAACCCTAATGTAACATGGCTCTTCATTTCCATGACCCATGGGTTTATAACTCCCATGGAGCATCCATGGAGCATCCTGTGACAACCCGAAATTTTCATTTGTATAAACTCTACAGTCAAGCACTTCAAATAATAGTCAAATTTTCAGTACATTTTTGGCCGGTTTAAAGTCCGTTTGGGTGTTTTTAAATTAAATTCATGAAACGAACAAATAAAAGGAAGTACCTTCTAGGAGTGATGTGTAACAATTAAACAAAACAACACCTTAGTTAGGTGTTTACGGCCAAACATGAGGAGTTTGGGCCGTAAACTCCCTTTTGACCATGAACTCATGCTTAAGGCATGAGTTTACCCTTCATTCCCTCACTTTACACTTCCAAGCTCAAGAACACCCAACTTTTCTCTCAAGTATCATAGCACATTTCTTCAAATCTTCCAAAAATGTAAGTGTTTCTTCCCTAGATTTGTTGATATAACACTTTATCTAGTGTTTATACACGATTTCATCCATGAAATCTCCTCTTTTCTTAGATCTTCAAGAACACCAAGAACACCAAGAACACACACTAGTGTTTTTGGACCTTAAACACTCTTACAAGCTTCCTATAAGTAAGTACACTCTTCCTATCTAGTTGTTTGCTTAGTATACTTGCTAAAACATTGGAAAACATCAAAAATCCCCAAGAACACATGGGTTTACGGTCAAGGGATCTCCTTGAACCGTAAACACCATCAAGTGGTGTTTAAGTGCCCCCAACACCTTCTAGGGCTTGGATATTGGACTAGAACCTTACATGCATGAGCTAAAGACCCCAAATCATGAAATGGTAGGAGTGACCATGAGTTTACGGCCGTAAACTCATGGGTATATGACCTTAAACTCCAAGGGAGTGGTCCAAGGACCGTAAACTCCAAAGAAGGGCCATTTTGAGCCCTAGTCCCTTCCTAAGCCTTGGATGCAAACATAGAACACTTCCTTGAGGGGTATAAGACATTAAATCACACAATGGTACAATTTACCATGAGTTTACGGCCGTAAACTCATGGGAGAAATGACCAAAAACCGTAAACACATGTAGGGTTACCAAATGAGAAGTAAACTCCAATGTGAGGCCATACTCTCCTTAGATGCAACCCTTATGTACTCCTAACACTTAAATCAAAGTGTTATCCATGTATTAGGGTGTCCTTACTTGATAAATTAGTTATTAAAATGACTAATTAGATACATATATGTATCATTACATGTTAAATAGGATCTGTGTGTGTGTTCAAGTCCTCACTTGACACTTAGCATCCTATCCGACACTTCCATCCAAACCACTCACTGCAGGTGAGTTCATACCCCTTAATCAACCTTTGAAATGATTTTAAATGCTTTTATGGGGGGGGGGGGGAATACAAGTTGAAATATTCTAGTTATTGCTTTAATCACATGTGATTAATGACTAGAATAAACAAAAGGATTTACTACTACTTTCAAGTTACTATCAAAATTATGGTTTTCAAGCGTTTTTAAAACCTTTTATCTTAACTCTTTTAGATGCTAATACTGTTTCCAAACTCTTTTAAACTCACATTATTTTCAAACCAATATCTACCCCAATATATTTATATAAGTAAGACTTGAAGGACTTAGGACTGATAGCTCACCTTATTTCCTGTTCCTCGTTTGGTTGTGGACTTAGGGTATCCTGTTATTTGTCCGAATGTCGTTGAAATCTTAGTTATATATCATATATATATGGGTTGGATATAAAAACTTTCACTTCAGTTCAGTACCTTTGTGTAACAAGGGCATACCTACAACATTACTATTTAACTATAATAGGTATAGTTAAGGTTTTACTACTCACTACTACTATTACAACGACACATACGAGAGCCAGTACAGTTATGAGTCAATACACGCTATATACTATACAAGAGAACATACTATACACTATACAAGAGAACATACTATACACTATACAAGAGAACATTACTACACTATGACATACTACATAAACATTTGAATGCTATAAACAGAATGTGACATACTACTTCTCGATACGACACTTTATTGTTCTATCACATTGTAACCAGAGTCTCCTGGAGGGAGAGCGGGCATTATGTGTATAGATCTATACGGGACACACACTCCGACATCCCGACTGCTAGCTACAGTCCTAGCCGAAAGGCCAAGGGATGACAGAATGTTACTTCACTACATATGACCTGGAGGGTCATCAGTTATTCAGCCGTCGATCAGCATGGTTACATACGAGTTCACATTCAAACCTTTAATTAACCAATTAAGAATTAAAGGCAAAAATAGACTTTTCGAGGCGTATTGTTCATTTAATACCATCTGGAGTCTACATGTTACTATTTTAGACTCCCCGAGGTGTACTGTGCATTTAGTACTACCTGGAGTCTGTATTTCATTACACTGTGATTTTGTCACATACATGTTTAAATAAACTGTATTTTTATAATGATAGTTTCACTGAGGAAAAACTCTTACACTACATAAGGAACAAATACACAAACAATCGGGTCTTGGTAGAAGACTACATTTTTACTAGAAAATATAGGATTTTCTAGGGAGTATACTATTTACAAACATTTGAAATCAGTTACTACATCAAGTTGTTACAAACATTTTCATACAAGCAATGACACTAAATACTTATGAACTCACCAGCTTTATGCTGATAAAATCTTTCAAAATAACTTGTATTCTCAGGTCATCAGTAGACAGGTACAGATGAAGCTTTTGAGAAGACGGAGCACATACAAGACTCATCTTTATTTTGATTATACATTTTGGTGTCTTACAAACTATACAGAACACGCTTGTATTATAATTATTATATTAATGCAATGGATGTTGTTGCTTGTCTTTACTATTATGCATTGTTATGATACTGCACATGACGTCCTCCACCCCAGAACGTTTCCGCCGTTTCGGTTTTGGGGTGTGACAGATTGGTATCAGAGCACTGTTTATAGT